GCCGGAATGTTCTGTACGCATCTCCTGCCTTGTGTGATGATGCCTCTCACTCTCACCAGCGGTCGACGGAGTGAAGTTGTCTTGGTGTTCAATGCATGTTAAAAGTTTTTATAGCAGATAGGATTGTTTCCTGAATTTTTTTTCTGAAATTGCAGTTCATATAGGTAGGCTAAGAATGCACCTTGTTTTTTTACTTTAAATTTTACTGTGCAATACAGTATTGTAATTAATAAATACATAAATATCGTTTATACAGTACGGTACTGTAAATTGCTCTGTTTTGCTAAATTATCACCATTCTTCTTGGTTCTTTCGGTAAAGTCACGTAGAAGGGAAGTAATACAATAATACAAATAAAACATAACAATTCTCACGACGTTTCGGCCACAATGCAAGCAGCCGTCCTCAGGTGAAAACCAGGTCTGTCGAGGCGACAGCGTCTGAATGCTGTTGCCTCGACAGACCTGGTTTTCACCTGAGGACGGCTGCTTGCATTGTGGCCGAAACGTCGTGAGAATTGTTTTATTATGTTTTATTTTTATTATTGTATTACTTCCCTTCTACGTGACTTTACCGAAAGAACCAAGAAGATGAATCCCTGCAGTCACGAAAGCTTTAAATCGAAATTTATCACCATTCTTTAAGACTCATGGGTAGGCGAGGCCATTTTCGACTTACGATATTTTCGACTTACGATGGGGTCGTCGTAACGCATCTCCATCGTAAGTCGAGGATTACCTGTATTTGGCTGCTAGATATTTCCCCATGATAAGCCACTTTGTTGAGCTATCATTTGTGGCCAGGTGGCCTCTGAAAAAGCTGTTTAACTCGGTGAGACTTGCCTGGCAACATGACATAGTTTCGTTTTAAGTGCTCTGCAGAACTGTTTCACACACTACGATTTAGAGCAGTCTTAATTTATTGTAAAGTTATGGTGAAATTGTTATCGCTTAACGTGGCGCTTTTCAGGGACGCATCTCCCGTCCTTCCATTAGCACGGTTGGCTACGTGCAGTGTGAAAGAAGTTCAACATACCGTGTTTGAACGAGGAATTGCTGGATGTGATTATTGCACGGTGGTCCGTACAAAACCTGAGGGTTGCCAGGGAGTGGCCAGTGGATCCAAAACCGTTGAGAACCACTGGCCTCGGTAATTTGCTCTCGTACGTATGTTGAACTTCTTTCGCACCATACATAGCCAATCGTTCTGGCAATGGTAATAGACAACTTTGTTTTGATTCCGGGCCACAGCTAACTATATAAGTGGTGAGTGATATTAGAATATGTATACTGGAGGAAGCTTATGAGCTATGAAGCTCCTTTTCGCATACTCTTTCGTTCTTTCGGTAAAGTCACGTTGGTATAAAATAAATAAAATCACCAAGTTTCGATTGCAACACAAGCAATCATCAGGTGGGAAAACCACAGCAAGACATTTTTTTGCTGAAGTGGGAGAGAGAGTTGCCGTGGTAAGAGGTTATATAGGTAAGAAAGGGGGAGGAGCAAGGGGGGAGAGGTGGGGGTGGGGGCGTGGGGTAGGGGGAGGGCGAGCGCTGCGTGGTGTAGTAGTACCCGGCAGATATGATAGACGACAACCAATACAAAGCAGCTAGGGTTTTACCTTCATAATCAACGTTTTTGGGTTTAGATCGCGTTATTTATAAATGTGTCGTAACCCTCCACCACCCGACACGGCCAATCAGTAAAAAAGTCACGTTGACAAAAGACAAATAGTTCACTGCTTGAGCCCACCGGTGTGTTGAAGCATGAAACCACAACATTTACAATTTGAGTACGATGTTTCGCTGGTAATTGCATCCAGCATCATCGGGCAATTCGCCAGAATGGTGAGGCTCTGGTTAATAACATCCTTCCAATGATTGCTCAATTTGTATCCATATCGGTTGAAGTTATGTCTATGTTTATATATCTGGATGGCTTCATGAACAAACCTTTGATATAAAATCCTCGGCATTGTGCTTACTCGGTGTTGAGTCGGCACTCCTCCCCCATTCCCCCTAACCCACACCCCCATCCTCTCTTTCTCTCCTCCCTGGCTCCCCCCTCTCTTATATATAGCCTCTTGTTACCAGCAGCCTCCTCTTGCCCGCTTCAGGAATTGTTTATTGCTGTGGTTCCACCTGATGAGGGGCACTTGTGTTGCGCCCGAAACGTCGTGATTTAATTTATTTTATATTTTCTACCCACGTGACTTTACCGAAAGAACTGAAGAGTATGGATCCCTGCAGTCACGAAAACTTCACATCTAGAAAGAAACCTTTGAAAGTAGCCCGAAGGTTTGCAGAGTACGTTGGTCTCGGGAAAAAAAACAATATCATGCGAGCCCACAGATGGATACAAATTGAGCAATCATTGGAAGGATGTTATTAACCAGGTAACACCCTAACTGCTTTGTATTGGTTGTCGTCTATCATATCTGCTGTGTAACAGGTCCCTGCGGGGTGGGCTGGTAGGAACGAATAACCAAAGAATATAAACATAATGTATTATTACACTTGTTTAGCCAGGAAAGCCTCACTGAGTGTAAAGGTTTTTGTAGGGTCCTGCCAAGTGTTTGCAGTAGGGGGCGATGTTGCTACACCTAATCGGACGATACGAAGGGAGAGTTTGAGGCCTAGTTCTAGGCTTTAGGCCTAGCTGTAGGCTTTAGGCCGCTGTGAGTTAATTTTTAATTTAAATGTTTTAATTATTAATGTAAAAGCTTTAAATGTAAATGTTTCTATTTAAAAACATCAGGGAATGTAACATTGTTAAACATTAACTCCCTTTCACACACGCGGGGGTACGATACGAAGGGAGAGTTTGAGGCCTAGTTCTAGGCTTTAGGTCTAGCTGTAGGCTTTAGGCTGCTGTGAGTTAATTTTTAATTTAAATGTTTTAATTAAAAACTATCTCAGGGAATGAGTTAATTTTTTATTTAAATGTTTTAATTAAAAACTATCTCAGGGAATTAAAAAAAACTATCTCAGGGAATTATAAGGGAATGTTACACTTGTTTAGCCAGGAAAGCCTCACTGAGTCTAAAGGTTTTTGTAGGGTCCTGCCAAGTGTTTGCAGTAGGGGGAGATGTTGCTAAACCTAATCGGACATCGGACAGACGGATGGACGGACGGACGGACGATATAATCTATTGTAGGCTGGTTCACTTCGTTCCTACCAGTACTACTACACCGTAACACCATGCAGTACTTGCCCTCCCCCTACCACACACCCACACCCCTCCCTCTCCCACCTTGCTCCTCCCCCTTTCTGACCGATATATCCTGTTACCACGGCAACTCTCTCCCCCACTGATGATGATTGCTTGTGTTGCAATCGAAACGTCGTGATTTAATTTATTTTATATTTTCTACCCACGTGACTTTATCCAAAGAAACCAAAGAGTATGGATGCCTGCAGTCACGAAAACTTCAAATCTCTTTTTCACAGCTGCCCAGTAGAAGTAGGTCAGAACGTTACAACAAACAATAGAAAAACACGACAAGAGTGGAAAGATAAGCAAGTAATATAAAAATATATACGAACAAAAGTACTCTATTTTTTATCTGACCTGGTAAAGACCACTGTCCTATTAGCTTATATTTCAGAAGCGACCTGGCCATGAATGATAGCTCAACGAAGTGGCTCATGTAGCAATTTATAGCAGCAAAATAAACTTGCTCCTTCGGCCTGCCTCTTCAACCAGCACTCATTAAAGTGTTGAAGTATGGTTAACCCCTATGACCGGCACGGCATGAGGAGGCTTTCATCCAGCATTGGATTGGAAAATTGCTGTAAATTACACGCAAAAAAACCTTTACGGTTATGTGAATCGGTCCTCTTTATTTTTACACGCTTTCTATTAACTCACTCTGTCTGTTGTTGATGTTGTCGTTGTATACTCAAATCTTGTAACTCAATTTTAACCCACTTCCCAATGTGGTATCGACTGCAAACTTGGTATACTTATGTCATACTGATGACAATACTATATTCTATCATGAAAATACTTTTTTGAGATATTTTTATTACACGCTTTCTATTAACTCACTTTGTCTGCTGTTGTTGTCGTATCCTGAAATCTTGTAACTCAATTTTAACCCACTTCCCAATATGCTATCAACTGCAAACTCGGTATACTTATGTCATACTGATGACAATACTATATTCTATCATATAAAAACAAAATTGAAACATTATTTTTTATAAGTTATGTTTCGGCTTGGGTCTAATTGTCCACGGTCAACTGACGTTGGCTGTAATTGGCCACGGTCCCTTACGTTATGGCAAGTTTCAAGGCCACTTCCTGGAGTCGTGGAGTTCTGCCATTACTAGTACATTATATAAAAGCGTAGATTTGAAGTTTTCGTGACTGCAGGGATCCATACTCTTTGGTTCTTTCGGTAAAGTCACGTGGGTATAAAATAAAATAAATTTATTTTAAAATGAAATGAAAAATAAAATACATTTATTTTATTTTATACCTACGTGACTTTACCGAAAGAACCAAAGAGTATACATAAATGTGTTTTTAAAAACGTTTTTGTTAAATATTTCTTATCAATATTGCAGTGTAACCGTTGGGATAGATTGTAACGTTCCAATGCATTTCTTGGTACAGTAATTGCATACGGAAAATAAGAGCTGATTCTGGAGTGAAAATGTGTTTTCCTTGCTCCACCGCGTACTGCAAACGGATTTGCACACAATTTGCATGAAATCATTCGAATTATCTTTTCAACGTGTCATTTATGAATGTCCCAAGGACTTTACCATTTGACCCTTTTGTTTGAACCCTTTTGCATTAAGTTTGGTCAACAGAGCAAGTAACTGCAGCATTGAGGGGCGTTGCATGTTTTGTAGCAGATTCCACTGAAGCACTTAAGAGTGGATTTTGTTCTCGAGCACTGCTTGTGCTGCGAAAGCTGATCAATCTGTAAGCTTATGCAACAACAAAAACCCAACCTCGAGCCGCATTGGCATTGAACACAAACAGGCGCAAACATTTCAAACTTTATTAATAAACGATTACGTCCATGTGTCCGTGACCTAAATGAGTACAAATTGTAGAGACGTTTTAGAAATGTGTTTAATTAAAACATTCGCTCATTAGCGTGAAAGCTCAATGTTTGTTATAACGGATAACCGTACACTTTCGCAACAACAACAACAACATTGTATTTCTTCTTCTGGACTGTTTGTATGTTGGGTCCGAACCATATCCGTGCAGATGCTCGCATGCTTGCGAAACACGTGTCGACTGGGATCAAGGCTTTCCACTGGGGAAGAGTCAGGTGTCAAAAGACTTGCCTGCGTTCGTGTTTTCACCGTGTCGCTGTTACGTGGGTGCGTGCGTGCGTACATGAAAGCCGTGGTTGAGATGCGTGCTGCATTTGTGTGTGGGCATTGTGTAGTTTCAATGCGGTATCATCTCTACTGCTTGCCCAGTGTTGACCAGAACTCTGAGAGCTTGGAGAGGAAATCACGGCTGTACTGGGTCACAGCATCAGCACCATCCTTCAGTTGTTGTCTGGAAAATTAAGAGAATCATGGTCAGCGGCAGGGAAGGCAGAACACTGCAATTTTAACCAATCTTTGTGTATTTTTTTCTTTCATACTATTGTAAAGTGGGAGCCGACACCAGATTGCAGGGGTCTCGTCCTTTATTCCTTTCCTTCCATCCACACCTGTCCCCCAGCCGTCCCAATCTCGTTCCCGCCCAAGGCCCCTTCTTCCCGCCCGTTCTCTCCTTATATCTCCTCGATCACCCCTCCCACTAACCCATCTATTGGTGGGAATCCTTCCCCTGACACCCCTACACTATGATCCAAAAACACTTTTTCCCCAGATCCAGCAACCTCTGTTAATTCTCGACTATTAATAAAATCAGTGACGAGTCGTATCCGAACCCGTAGTATTTTTATTTTATCAGGTCAGGCCCGCTGAGCTGTACAGCTTTTTTTCAGAAGTGACCTGGCCACAAATGATAGCTCAACGAAGTTGTTTTTGCGGAAATTTGTAGCAGCCAAATACTCGAAACGCACGTTTCTAAGTGAGGAGGGAAAATCAGGGGGGACCCGAGGAAAAATCCTACATGACCACGGGGAAAACACGCAAACTCCAAATATACAGGCGTCACTGTCGGGATGGAACCCACGACCTCCTGTATACCATGCGAAGTAGTTAACACTCGACCTGTATAGCATGCGAAGTAGTTAACACTAGCCGCCTTCCCTTTAACAAACTCCATCACGAATGAGTTACCTGCTGCAGTGGGTGGATGGGTGTGAACACCTCACCAGCAGTGGAGGACACACAAGTGACCAGGGACGCTGCTGGCAATATTGCCCTCTTGTGTACCATGTTACCCGTAATGCTTACTAATAAATAGCACTTGGCCTGTAGGCTTGAAGGCGAATTAGGGAGGTGTGTGTGTGTGACAGGGCGTGTGCTCAGTCACTGCCGTCTCAGTCCGTCAACCCATGGCACCTGAGTCTGTCCCCGTGACCTCCTGCTAGCGGGCGTTATGACACTTCACGTGGCCTCTTAAGTGCACCTAGCCTGGCACAAGCATCGCGGTGATGTCACCGCCGCACTTAGTGGCGAATGACGGTTGTTGTTGTTGTTGCCCAGTGATTGAATCGACTTACCCGGCCTGCTGGGCGAGCTCGTTGTTCTGCACTTGGGTGATGCCCTCCTGTGCCTTGTCGGTCAGCGAGCGCATTAATGAGATCAGTAAGTCGCGCACCTGGCCCACCTGGTCAGGTTCTTCTGCCTGCACGTTCTCATCCCAGGCGTAGCGTGCCTCGGCTGCAGATGCACAGGCAGACAAAGACACCCCCCCCGCATCGCCTTAACAGACTGTTGGGGCAAGTGCTGTTGGCGAGTAGCACCTACGAAGAAGGTGTCGGCACGGCACGCGAAGGGAGTGGGTGGCCAGCACCACGCCCGGCCGCCTTTGTCTCCCCAGTGGTGATGTTTACACACCGCACCAGGTACTCATTTGAGGCCGAGTCGACCTAGGGAAGGCCCACCGGGACCGGTCCAGATATTTGTCACCGATGTTGGCCGTGAGCGGGAGTCGAACTCGGGTCCGCCGGGTTTCGGAGCGCGCAGAATTGCTTTTAGGAACTGCTTTTTTGTGTTTAGTGTTGTTGCCCTTCCCCGCACCTCCGTTTCGCACGGTTGGCTACGTACGGCGCAAAAGAAGTTCAACGTACATACGCACGCACACGCGCACAAGCGGAGCACGAGCGTCATGTGCCGGTCACGAGCGCACGCAACGCAACGCACGCGTGGCCACCACAGAGCTGACCAGACGTGGCCACCGATGGGCTCAATATTGGGCCAAATCCGCGGTGCGGTGTGGCCACAACGGCAGTCATCTCCCGCCCCGAGGCTGGGACCGAAAAGCCAAAAAATCACACGGGGCCCTGTTCAACAGCACCCGATTGGCAGCCACGGTCGGGGGCAATTGGTCCAACTGGTCTGCCCATCGTATCGTCCGTGAACTCGGAGCAGTGTGCGTACGCGTAATGCATCCGTAATAGATGAAGATTGTTTCGCAACCGCACTCACTCACGCGATGTCTGGCCCTCGCCTCGTGCACATGCGGACAATTATCACGCTCGTTTCAAATACACAAGAATCATTTACTGTCCCTCTTGTCAGTCCACTGCTGGGCTAAGGCCCTCCTCCTCCTCCTGACCGTGCCGGTTGTTGGACCATACTTCACCACGTCGGTCAGTGCGGGTTGGTGAAGTGAGAGTCGCGGATGGGGGAGGAGCGGGGGGGGGGTCATCCCGGGACCAGTTTAGATATCACTCGGTTTCGCTAAACGTTCGCCGTAGTCCAGGAATCAAACTCGGATCGGTCGGTTCACGGCGCAGTGGTTTCACCCAACCGCGTCGAAACACTCAACCACAAACAACATCCATTAATCCCCCGGTCGTTGGTTATTGCGCTGCCTTTGTAATCGAGGTTGCAACGTGAATGGAGAGTAGAGTTCTATACCAGCAGCCGATCGTGGGAGGGAGTGGGGGCGGTGGGGGTGGTGGTGGGGGTGCAGAGTGTCGAGCAGTGTGGTAACGAAATGCAATTGCGAGCGATGGCTTTGGTGGATCTGCTCGTCAAGAATTGGCGTGCGCCTCGTTTGGAGGACTCACCCCAGACGAACATGGACACGAGGACCACGGCCACGGCGACCACCTTCATCTGCATCTTGATCTGATCTGCAACAACAACAAAAACACAGCGAACGCCACTTAGTGAACACTCACACGACAACAGCAACAGCAGCAGCAGCCGCCATCGTTCGCCACCACGTGGCGTCGACGTCGCCGCAACGCTTGTGCCAGGCTAGGTGCATCTTTAGGCTGTCGCGTGAAGCGTCGCCGGATCGATGCTGCTGACAAGAGGTCACGGGGCAGAGCCAGGCGCTTTATGGGTTGACCGCCTGAAATGATCAGACAGATGCACCACCCGCGTCTGCCCCCACCAGTGCCACATGTGTGGAATGGAATTTTCGGTGCAAACAAAAGCGATTCGCGAACAGTAAGGGCAATCACATTGATTGCAAAAGTAACAAAAAAAATCATCAATACATGGCTCGCAACACAATCTAACAAAATGTTCCGTTGAGTTTCAGTAGAGCCCTTCTGCGCGGGTTATCAGCATCGATGAGAGGTGGCGCCGGCTTATGGGTGAGGTCGTCATCCAGCAGTGGATTGACCATGGCTGATGATGACGATGATGAGCAGAGGCCATCGGGAAGAACTTCGCGCTGTAACTCACCGAGGAGAGGGCCGGGGTGTGCGAGGTGTCTTGCGGACTTTATGAACGCAGCGCAAGAGTGAGTGACACGGACGCTGGGCTCCTGGTTTTATAATCGCGGGGCGAGGGAGGTCTGGGGTGGGTTGCGGCTGTAAAGGGGTTGACGAGGCCCTCTGACCCACCTCCTCCCCAACACAAGCCGTAAATCATCTGGAAAGCACCCAGCACACCCCCCACTGTGTATAGAAGAGGCTGTAAACCCGAATTACCATTGGGGTTATATTTTCTTAAAAGACCACCGTATATTATAACATTTGGTTAAAATTTAACCGTCCTGTAACATGATGTTGTCTGTCTTTTTACGCAGTCGCGCAATCCACAATAATAACGTTGCACGACGAGTCAGCATCGCCGTCATTCTCACGGCCCTGCCTTGGGTCTCTCTGCTGCTGAGGCTGTGCGAGCGCGTGTCTCTACATCGCTGCCACGGTGGTGGCGGCAGTGATAGTGGTGGTGGCGGTGGTGGTGGCGGTGGTGGTGGCCCCAGTGATAGTGGTGGTGGTGTGGTGGCGGTGACGGTGGTGTGGTGGCGGCAGTGATAGTGGTGGTGGCGGTGGTGTGGCGGCGGTGGTGGTGGTGGCGGTAGTGGCGGTGGTGGTGGTTGTGGTGGTGGTGGTGGCGGCAGTGATAGTGGTGTGGTGGCGGTGGTGTGGCGGCGGTGGGGGTGGTGGTGGCGGTGGTGGCGGTGGTGGCAGTGGTGGTGGTGGCGGCAGTGATAGTGGTGGTGGCGGTAGTGGTGGTAGTGGTGGCGGTGATGGTGGTGGCGGTGGTGGCGGCGGTAGTGGTGGTGGCGGCCGTGGTAATGGTGGCGGTAGTGGTGGTGGTGGTAGCGGTGGTGGCGGTAACGGTGGTGGTTGCGGTGGTGGTGGTGGTGGCGGTGGTGGCGGTGGTAACGGTGGCGGTAACGGTGGTGGTAGTGGCAGCGGTGATGGTGGCGGCAGTGGTAGCGGCGGTAGCAGTGGTGGTGGCAGTGGTAACAGTGGAGTTGGTGGTGGTGGCAGTGGTGGTGGTGGCGGTGGTGGCAGTGGTGGCGGCGGTTGTGGTGGTAAGAGCCCACAGCATTGAGATGTGGCACCAAGAAGGTGGCTTGATTTCTAAAGCTACCGGCTACTTCGACTTCTCCAGACTCACACTGGCCGTTTCCCAAACAACAGCCGTGATTGTGCTCATTAAGCCAAGGCGCATGGCCCATTATTGGGGTAAACAGATTGGCTGCAAGGGCACTTGCCTCCTGCCGTGATCCATCAGTCGTTTCGTTTCGCACAGCGTGAGGTGCGCACATCTAAATCACCCCTGAATGTGAAATCTCATCGCACCTCCGAAGCTAAGCTGGATTAAGCCATGTTAGTTTTCTGGACGGGAGTCTGGTTGAGAATGGCATGTGTTGTAGGCTGCTATTGTTAAGTAGCTAGGAGATGAGGTACAGGGATGGATACGTTAATCAATCTGGATACTTGAGTTCCGTCTGTTTGGAGCCTTGAGTGACATCTGTGAAAAAAATTGCTTTATAGCTCGTCGGATTCCTCCAGTATACATACAGATGACGATTCAGAATCTTACCCTCTCCAATGAGTGGGCTTTCTCAGGATGCTCCGGCTTTCTTCGCACATGCCAAACACTCATTCATAAAATTCGCCCAATGACACAATTCAGAACCTTCCTGAACAACAACAACAACAAAAAGTATTGATACTCAGCAAGGCTTTCCTAGGTGAACAAAGTTCATTGTTGTGGCCTCCCCATAGCCAACGCGCCTTTGCATCAAAGTGTAGTGCCATGGGAGGGGAGGGGCTGCTGGGGGGCTCCGGGACCCTGGGCGGCCCAGGCGCTTAAGCCCCTTGGCGCCACCAACGGGGGGGGGGGGGGCTGTGTGTGCTCTGTGGGATATCTGGGGGCGCACACGGTCCCACCCCTCGTTGGGGACTAGGCATAAAAGGAGAGCTCCCTGGACGATCAGGGCCAGTTGTAGCTCAAGACCCAAGACCCAAGACCAGCCATCTGAGGACCCTGGGACGCTGTGAGGGCCAGTGGTGGGACTCTGGAACTCCCGGCTCTACGTCCTTGTGAGGGCGAGTTCCAGAGCGTAGCCAGAGTAGTGTATCGAGGCTGTGTACCTAGGCTGTGTACCTGGGCTGTAACAGAGTATCAGGACTGTTGGAGTGCTGTTGGATTGTAATAAAGAAGTTACCTCTACAAGTGTCTCTGGAACCCATTACAAAAGTAACCACGAACAGGATGGGAATGGCAACACTTCGTGTTGGGAGTGCTTTATTAAATACACGATGGACTGTCCAGAAGTTTTGATGTGTCGTCGTTCTCCTCACCTGCTAACACAAACACATCCTTGCATATCAGTGTAGAGACCGAGAGCAAACAGGGCACACACCGTCCTCGGCAAGACTGTGATTGTGCAGCAGCTCATATCGTTCCTGGATAGGGTTCGTTTGATAAACTCTGACCTCGACGAGCAAACGTTTACATCGGGGTGAGCTGGCGTGACAGTGATCGCGCTATGGTGCCAGTCCTATTGGTCAGAAGTCCACCTGAGGTCTGAGATTGTTTTGGGTGAGCACGCAGAGGCCACGGTGCGTGCGTCTACCGATTCGAGGGGTATCTGTTCCTTCTGGCCCCATATCTCTGATTTGCCGGAGGGTTGTGCAACATAAACCCCCGCACGACTCGTGATCCTTCCACGGTCGAGCTCTCAGAAAAAAAGTGACCACTTTTAACCTGCGAGCTGTTCGCCGATGGATGTGTGATTTTATCGGATTTAGGATTTACACAACCCATCCATCATTGACGGACACATTGACAGCTGTACACGTGGAGTTGATACAATCTTCTTCACTAGCCTTTTGCCCGTCCAAGGACCAGGTGTATTGCAGTCAATCTGAAACTTGCAAGTGAAAAGCAGACCGCTACGTGATATATTCATTTCATATTCTTAGGTTTTTTTCGGTAAAGTCACGTAAGTAAAACATAAAAAATTAATAAAAATAAAATTAAATAAAGATCACGACGTTTAGGAGGCATATATTCATTTCATTAACGCGTGTGCAATTCGTAAGGGCGCGGTGACACAGACCTATTTCATTTACAGGTTATAATCCCTTGTTCATGATGACGTCCTTTTTACTTTGATGTCTCAACAGCGTGACGGAGACCGCGTGACGTGAGGGTTCTGCCTTTGTAGTGAGGGTTGTAAGTTGACGCCGAGGAGGGGGGAGGAGGCGCCTCGCCCCCCCCATGTGGAGTGACGCCAGCCGCTAATTATTATGAATGGGGGGGGGGGGGGGTGTCCATTTGGAAGACGTCACCTGTTAATGATTATTAATGACGGGGGCTGTTCGATATGGAGTGACGTCACCTGTTCATGATTATTAATGAGGGGGGCTGGTCGCTGTGAAGTGACGTCACGAGCGTTAAGGACACTGGGTGATTGTAGTAGGTATTTGTGTGGCTGATGTAGATGCAGAGCAACAACAACAATTTAACATTCAGGTGGTTAAACCAGACAACCGCGTCAGCAGCAGCGGAGTGTCATTGCTGTCACGTCTCCTTCATATTTTTCAATCGGGAATTGCGTTGTTATACGCTGCATGGTCTGTTCTGGATGGCCACAGGCTCACACTGGAGAGTTCCATTTGTGCATCACGTATCCTCATCTGCCACGGTTTGTGCAGCGGATGCGGTTTCGGGTGACCATGAGCTTCGTGGAAGATACAAACCCAGGGAACCTCTGCTTTGGGTTTTTCACGAAGTTTCTGAGTTTTTTTTAACTCCATTCAGCTCTCATCGGGGTTGAGCTCGCATAGTTGAAGGTTCACCGCATGGGTCCACACAAGGGCTTGCGTGACTTCAAGCAATGACGAGGGACACTATTGAGGCCCTGATGAATGGGAAGCCGACTGTTTTCCTCGATTCGCAGGAATTTCCCGGAAGGTTTCAGCGTTGCGGCGGATAGGTGGGCGAGAGATTTGTAACGGCAAGTGCAGCCAGCGTGTTGGGTCGACTTCATGGTTCCAGCGATACACCCCGGTGCAGTGTTCAACAGGTGGAGTGGTGACCACTTCTGGTCCATACTGGTGCCACAGCACTGGGCTACAGCGCACACAAGGGCCATCGTTGACGTCCGCGGCACTGGTGCCGATGCTCTGCAGCTTGCGCTTGACAGTTTCTGGACCGGCTTGACCCTTACTAATAGGGGTTTTCCCCTTTTTTCTGGCAACAAAACTGACACCTTTTGCAAGGAATCATGCTTACACTAACCACAATACTTGCAGTCAAATGCAAACAAAAAACAATACTCTGATAATTTATGCATTGTCTTTGAAACTGATTGGTCCACACCAGAGACAGCTTTCTTTAGAGCCTAGTCTCATATGGTGTTCGACCAGATGACGCCAAAAGGCGCACAGTTCAAAGACAACGCACTACCAGAGTAATGAGAGCTCGGGGTGAGCAGCTACATCATGGGAGCTCCTATGCCAGTACCAAAATATACTAATAGGGTTTTTCCCCTTTTTTTCTGGCAACAAAACTGACACCTTTAGTATATTTTGGTACTGGCAAAGGAGGTCCCATGATGTAGCGTGATCCTTCCTTTTGGTCTTGGCCGCTACCTTTCTCAGGTGGTCGTAGAAGGTTGGCGTAGGGTCCAGCTTCACTCCGATATGCGGCAGCTTGGAGTGGGGTCGTGTCGCACAGAGTTGCCGCAGAAGATCACTTTCAGAGTGTGCCTGGTACTCCTGTTATGAAGATGAAATGCAGTGACTGTTGTTTTGTGAGGATTTGGCTTGAGCCTCAATTTCCAGAAATATTCCCTCGTGGTGTTTAGGCCTTGGTTCAGAGATGATTCAATGTTGTGGAAAGTGGCTCTTTGCTTTGCCAGAGCAAGGTCATCCGCATTTAAACATTTGCATAACCCGGTTGATGGCATATCACTCATGTGGACATTGAAGAGCGTTTGCGCAAATACTGAACCTTGTGGAAATCCATTGTTGATGAACCAGAGCGAACTGGATCTGTTGTTGCCAAAATAAAGATGCAGTCGC